TCACTAGACTGTACATTAGTTGCGCGCTCGCTCGTTTGCTGGCCTCATTATTCCTTCCCCCTCGCCAGGAAGGAAGGAACGAAAAACCCGCCAGGGCAGGGGGGGAGAAGGATGAGGGTGCTCGGTTGAGTGGGGTTTTTTTTTGAGTGCATTTGCCGAGCCCCTCCACCCCTCTGACAGGGGGACACACATGTTTCTCCCTATATATATATATGGCCGGCTCGGTATTTGTCGCGAGAGCCGGCCGAGGTAGAGGGGGGGGGGGGGATGGGGGAAAAGGAGGGCATACATGGCGGCCGATGGACGAGAGAGAGAGAGAGAGATGACGGGGACACGGCCAGGCATGCGCTTCGAGATCTCCGGCGTTCACAGTGGCCCCACAGCCCATCTAGGCGGAGCCGGCCTCCTTCTGCTGCAGAGCGGCATCAATCTCACCGGCCCGGCGGTCGCGGAGGATGTTCCCGATGAACAGCTCGCCGGCCTTGTACGACGAGCGAACCAGCGGCCCGGAGGCGGTATACACGAAGCCCAGCTCCTTGCCACGCTGCTCCCAGTACTTGAACTTGTCCGGGTGCACGTACTCCGACACCTTCATGTGGCCCTTGGTCGGGCGCATGTACTGCCCGAGGGTGACGCAGTCGACCCCATGGGCGCGGAGATCGCGCATGGTCTGCTCCACCTCCTCGTCGGTCTCGCCGACACCGAGCATGATGGAGGACTTGGTGATCAGGTCGGGGCGGACCTCCTTGGCGCGCTTCAGCACATTCAGCGACTGGTGGTAGCCGGCCCGGCGGTCGCGAACCACACCCTGGAGCTGTGGCGGCCGGCGCGGGGCGAGGAGGAGCGGGCGTGGAGAGGGCGGGTGTGCGGGCATTTTTCCCGCACAAAACCCGCGCGCGTGGGGGCGTGAGTGAGCTGCTCGCGGGGGAGGAGCAATGGCAGGAGAGGCCGGGGGGCAAGAGCAGCAGGGGCGAGGGCCGCCTTGTGGAGGGACGCACGCGCTCGACGGTCTCCATGTTGTGGGCATACACGTCCAAGCCGGAGAGAGCGACCTGCTCGACGCCAGAAAGGTCGCCGGCGAAGTCGCCGGTCAGACACTCGACCAGCATATCGGGCTTCCTGTGGATGGGAACCATCGGCGCAAATACCCGCAGACACATGCGTATGCGCATGCCCGGCCCAAGGATGGCTGGAGGGAGGGAGGGAGGGGAGACAGCGGAGCAGGGCACATGGTCAGCGGGAAGGGTGTGGACAGCCACCAGCAGGGCCCCGCCAGAGGCAAAGCAAAGAGGGCGGTCGCCAGGGACGGACCGGGACTTGATCTCGCGGACGGTCTGGGCAAAGTGCGCAGCCCCACCATCGGCCAGGTCTGAGGAAATGAGAGAGCGAGGGAAGCACCGCCGAGGGGTTAGCAAGCATGCCGTCTGAATAATCCCACCATTACCGCGCGGACCGCTTGTCTCCCCCGCCCCGGCCCCCTCTGTGCGCATGCATGGCTGCGGCTGCACGAGCGAATGGATGCCCTTTCCGGAGCCCAGCACGGGGGGAGGGGGGAGGGGAGGGGGGCAAAGCTGCCGGCGACGCACCGTCACGATCGACACTGGTAAGCACAACGTAGCCGAGCTTCCAGCGGGACACGGCCTCGGCCGTGTTGATGGGCTCCATCGGATCGAGCGGGGGCGGGGCATTGGACGTCTTGACCGCGCAGAAGCGGCAGGCACGGGTGCAAGTGTCGCCCATGATCTGCGCCAAGCCCGAGGGAAGAGGGTCAGGCAGCGGGGGTTTTGGTCAGTCACCCGAGGGAACGGAAGAGCGGCAATGTCGGCCAGCAGACGGTGAGCCCCTCCCCCGCTGGCAGCGACACAAACAGGCAGACGCCCGGCCCTGCAGCATGAGGGGGGCCGGGACGCGCGGCCACGCGCCACGCACCATGATCGTGGCAGTGGCAGTGCCCTCCTCGCCACCCCAGCACTCGCCCATGTTCGGGCACTTGGCCTCCTCGCAGACGGTGGCCAGGCCGAGCTCACGCAGGTTGGACCGGATCCGAGCAAAGTTCGGACCCGAGGGGAGGGCGATTTTCGCCCAGGGCGGGACGCGGGAGACGGCCTTGCGCGGGCCGCGGGCCTTGGCCGGGGCGGCGTTCGGATCCGACGCGGCGAAGGCCGCGTACGCGGCATTCATGGCCTCCATGTCCGGGCTACCGGCCGGCACGCCGCACATGGCCGCCGCATTCAGAGACCCGGAAGAGGCGAAGTCCCCGAGCCCGGGACCGGTGGAGGCTGCCTGGCGCAGGGCCTCCAGCCGGCTGCCAGCGGCCGGGGCATTGGCCTCCGAGGAGGATGAGGACATCTGCCGAGCGGCGGCGGCGGCAGCGCCAGCAGGGCCGGCCAGCGAGACGGCCACCTGGCGCCGAGCGGCCGCGATGGCCGTATGACGCGCGGCAAGGAACATCAGGAGGGGGGGGAGGGGGGGGGGGGGGGCGGCGACGCAAGCGCGGTTCAGAGCCCGGGCGGGGGAGGGGGGGGGGGAATAGAAAGGCCAAAAAAGGAACGGGCGATCGGGCAGCGGAGGCGCAGGAGGGATCGGGGGATTGAGGCGCGCCATCCTGCCGGCAGGCCAGCGGGCCCGGGCGCTTTTAGCCGGGCCCGACACGGGGAACGGGAGAGTGGCGAGACCAGCCGAGACCGGCCTCCTTGTTGTGCGGGAGGCCTTCGGGAAATGTGCGGCGAAAAAAAAAAAAAGGCACATGGGTCACCTGTGTGTGTATGTGCCGCTTGTCCCTGCGCTGGCCCTTGCCCGGAAAACACGCCTCCCTCCGCCCCGCCCGCCCCCCGGTGTCTGGGGCCAAACGGACAGAGAGGGGCGAGGCGGGGGGGGGGGGGGCAATGCGTGGGGGGGGGGGGGGGGGGGGGGGGGGGGGGGGGGGGGGGGGGGGGGGGGGGTCTACCACTCGGGAGCGGGCCGCCCCAGTCACCCGGGGAGTGCGCGCCGCGGCGTGGGGCGAGCCGCGGCGGAAGACGTGGCCCCGGGCATGGCCGCGGGGCGGGGCCTTTCTTCCCGAGGGCCCAGCAGGGGGACGGGGCCGGGCCCAGTGAGAGGCCGAGGAGCGTGCGGCATGGTCCGACCCGCGCCGAGGCCAGGGCGGAGAACATAAATCCGCGCCGGATCACGCCCGGTCGCGGGGGCGCCACACATGATCCCAAAATCCGCGGGGCCGGACGATCGGCCGGCCAGAACCCAACTGAAGCACACCGCGGCAGGGCCGCCGCCGCCGCCGCCGCCGCCTTAACTCGGAGGCCATGAGATGCCTCGACACTGCGCGGATTTTGCTCGGCGGAAACACGGACTAGGATACCGGGGGGGGGGGGGCGAGGAGCCCGGCGAAAGGGCGATACGCCGGATGCCGGCACACACCGGCCCGTTCATCTGGCGGCGGCCCGGGCACACCCGGCCGAAGGAGGGAGAGAACGTCCGCCCCTCCTTCCCCCTCTTGCACACATCGTCCCCCTCCTGCCTCCGGGTCTTCGGGCTCCCACGTCGCTTGACTCCCCCCCTCCCCCTCCTTCTTTCCCTCTCCCCCCCCCCCTCCTTTCTCCCTCTCGCGCCCACTTCGGCTGCTTCTCGCCGCGTGCGCGCACCAGCGTGTGTGGCATCGCGCGCACACGCTCACGGGCACCTCTCCCCGCCGGACGCGCCTGCTCCTGCCCCTCCATGCTGGCGTGCGGCCCCTCCATTGGGTGAGCCTTCCTCCTGACACCATGTCAGGGCCTCCCGTCCGGGGCCTCGGCCGCTGGTGTCGGCCCCTACTCACGCTTGCGGGCGCATGGCTGGCGCTCGTGTTGCTTGTGATGCCGCGGCCGCTGGCCGGCATGCCCTTCAGGAGAGACGTCTGTCAGCCTCGCCCGCCGGGGTCGATCTGGGCCGCGTTCGAGGCCCGCGGGCGAGCCGTCTCCCCGCTGATCGTCTGCCCGACCAATGGGGTTGACGGGTTGACATCGCTGCTGACCAAGCACCGGCAGGCGCGCCGGACCACGCGTGCCGCCCTCTTGGAACGGCACATCGGCCTGCCACCACCCTACCAGCCAGTCTGCCTGCCCGGTGAGGAGGCGCCCACCCGGTCGGATCCCTCATCCACGCGGCCCGACTCGTCCTCACCGTCCCCCTCATCTCCGCCGCCGCCGCCGCCGCCGCCGCCGCCGCCGCCGCCACCATCACCCCCCGCCCCGGGGGCGCATGTGCCACCGAAGCGTCGGACAAAGCCCCCGAAGACGGACCCGGTGGCGGCGGCTGCTGCCGCACGCGCCCAGCAGGCCCTTGCACAGCTCCTCCGCCGGGCCAATGATCTGGTCACCGCGGCGAACACCCTCCAGCGCGCCGAGCACCTTGCCGGGACATCGGTCGACCGGCCAAACTACTGTGCGTGAAGCCCTCCTCGGATGTCCCGCCGCTTGGCAAACCTTCCTCTCTCTCTCTCTCTCTCTCTCTCTTCCCCTCTCCTCCCGCCTGCCTGTCTGCCTCTGCCCATGCCTTGCACTCATCGCCCACCCGCTCTCGGCCCCCCCCCCCCCCTCCCCCCCCCTCCCGCCCCCCTTCCGACCTTCCCCCGTGGTAGCTTCGAAATCCTGCGGGGCGCGGATTGTGTGGAAGTCGCACGCGCAGATCCAGCACGCATCGGCCGTGCTGGAGGACGATCCGGAGCGCTACCTCATCGCCCCGTGCACCGGGGACCCGGAGGAGGCTGCCCCGGCCGAGGGGCCCCTGCGGCGGCTGGCACGTCTCCTGGGCCTGCCGCGACTGGACCAGCCCCCGGCCAAGCGCCTCCCCCCGCCGGGCATCGTCATCGAGCTGTGCGATGAGGTCCTGCTGGACACGCTGGTTTTCGGGAATCTGGAATTCTTCTCCTCCGTGGCCCAGTTCGTGCGGGTTGAGGCACGCCGCGAGCGGGCCGGGCCCATTTTGCCGAAGGCTCCCGCTGCGCAGCCCGGCTCGGGGCTCGTGTCGCCGCTGGCCGGCGGGTCCGGCGGCGGCACCGCAGCCGGGACCCCGGGCTCCGACTCCGATGGCTGGCACACCATTGGTCTCTTTGAGACGGCCAATGTTCGCCACTTGCAGATCATTCCCCTGGTGGCGGGGGATGCCCCGGTCCAGGACCCGGTCCCGGGGGACGGGGCGCGCCTGGCCCACCTGGAGCCGCCCCCGCCGACCGGCGTCTGGGCTCGGTACTTGCGTCTCACCTTCGAAGGGTACCACCGGACCTCCTCCCGGCGGCATCCCCTGTGCCCGGTGACCCTGATCAAGGTCCACGGGCTGACCGCCTCCGAGGATTACTACCGCATGCAGCGGGTGAATGCCGCCCGGCGCCGGTCCAGCCAAGCAACCGCGGCCTTTCAGCGGGCCCTGGGCAGCCAGGACATCCGCGCGCTGCCATGGCAAGTCGAGGGCACGGCGCCCGGCGGGGCGGAGATCCTGCCTCCCGGCCGGGCAGGCGCCGAGGCCGCCGCCTCGCCGCGCCGGTCTCCCCTCCGGTCCTTCTTCCAGGCGCAGCATGTGTGTCTCCCGGAGGAAGAGCCCGAGGGGGCCCCCGGGTGGCATGTGCGCATGGCGCCCGTCGGGCGCAGTGCCAGTGCGGTGGCCCTCTTCGGCCGGATCCTCCGAGCATTGGTCCTCTTTGTCCGGCAGTGCTGGGTGTCCTTGCGCGAGGCCATCACCCTGGCGACGGCCATCACCACACAGGCGCACCCGTCGGCCACGCATTCGACGCTGCTGCGCCATGGGGCGCATGCCCCGGGGCCTCATGCCGCCGGGGGGCCGCTTTTGACCCGGGGGCCGGCCGCTCGCACGTCGCCCGGGCCGCGCACGCGCCCCGAGCCGTCCGGTGACACGCCTCCGGAGGATGAGGCCGATGCTCATGCGCTGGCCCCCCTGGCCCGCTGGGAGCAGCTCCACTCGCCGGCCGACCGGGCCTTCCTCTGGCCGGATGACGCGCAATCATACTACGACTATGATGACGACCCGTCGCCCTTCCAGCACCATCCGCACCATCTCCATCATCCGCATCATCATCCGCATCACCAGCACCAGCACGCGCCCGGCCCATATGTCTCCCACCATGGCCACCAGCAGCTGCACTTCCATCATACCTACCCCCCGTACGGCCACCATTCGGCCCATCAGTCGCAGCAGCAGCAGCCGCCGGCGGCGGCGGCGGCGGCCTCGCACTCGCCCGACGTCGCCGCCGACGACCCGGTCTTTGATGGGTATCCGTTTTCCGGCGATGAGGATGCTGGCTCCCTGCCTGGGGCGGCGATGCCCGATGCCGCCGGCGTTCGGGACCTGCTGGCCGAGCTGGATCTGCTGGCCGAGCTGGACCTCGCGGTCGCGGAGGACCTTCTCCCGGCCGAGGCAGCCCCGACCCAGGGGCCCGGGGGGTCGGTGCACCGCGACCTGTCGGACCGACTGGACCGCCTGCGCGGGCACCTGGCAAAGTCCATCCTGACCATGGAGCTGGCCCTCGGCGGTGTCCACCAACGGCAAGACCTGGCCGCGCGGGAGACGGCCGCCCTGGCCGAGTCCCTCGGTGCCCAGCTGGAGCATCTTGCCCGGCAGCAGACGGCCCTCCGGTTGATCTTCGACACGAAGACCGCCTCGGTGGCCCTCGGCCTGGAGCGAGATCTCACCCGGGCCATTGGCCGGGCCTTGGGCCAGGCGCGCTACTGGGTCCTGGCATCGGCGCTGGTGTCGTCCGTGGCCACGGCCTTTCTCTTTGGCATGGGGGTGCTGTGCGTCGTGGCGGGCCGGCGCCTGGCCGGGCTGGCCCAGGAGCGCGTGTCCCGGCGGGCCGGGGGCTCCACCGTGGGCACCGGCGCCGGGGCTGCCGCGGCCATTCGCCCGGCGCCGCTGGTGGTCCCTGGTGGGCCGCCGTCGCCCTTGACGCCTCCCGCCTCGCCGGCGTCCACCTCGCCGCCCTCGCCCTACTGGGCCTCGCCGCGGGCCCGACTCACGACCATTCACACGCCAAGCCGGCGGGGGATATCGTCGTCTGGCCCTTGGCCGATGTTGGCCCCTGCCGCCGCCGCCGCCGCCGCCGCCACAACGGCCATGGCTCTCGCCAGCGAGTCTGATGATTCGGATTCCGCGTCATTCCCCTCCCTTAGATCGGTGGTGACCACCGAGCTGTCACGCGTGCGCCCCGACAAGGCGCCCAGTTTGGCGCCCAGCCCGGCATCCGGCCTCCGCGCAAGCCCGTCCCCTGACTCGACGGCCGATTTGGGGCTCGCATACTACGCCTCCCCCGCATCCGATGCCACCATCCTGTCCTTGTCCGACATGCGCCGGAATTCCGTGTAGCGTGGTCGGTTGCTGGGTGTTCCCCTCCCTGTCCCTCCCTCTTGCCCTCTCGTCCCCGGCGTTTTCCCTTTTTTTTTCTTTTCTTTTTTGCCGGCCCCGGCCGAGACCCCTCCCCCCAATGCCGCCGCCGTGGACACCCGATATGGGGGGATGGTATGCGCGTGCCATCCCCGCATGCTATCGCCCCTTGTTTCGGTTGGTGTCCCCGGGGCGGGCGCTCCTTCTCCCCTGTAATATAAGTGCATAGGTAAACACCGAATATCGGATGTATATTGGACACTGCGTGTGGGTCTCCACATGCGTGTTGCTTGTTTGTTGTTGGCTTGGAGTTTGTTTGGGTTTGTTTTTTTGTTGGGCGGGGTGCCGGCCCGTCTCCCATATCCGCCGCGCACGGCGAGAAAAAAAAAGAGGGGGGGGGAGGAGAGGGGCACAAGGACAGGGCGCGGCAGAGGAACAGTGCCAAAGAGGG